CTACTTCTTTATTCAGTTTATTACATCCATGCACAGTTTAGTGTATACTGCCACCCTTTGACAGCACTACCTGGTTTTTTTGCTCCAATAGTTAATCGTAATGACCCTCATTCCCATTTTTTTTTTTCTTTTAAATGAATAATTTTTTGCCACATTCACAAAAGCTCACTTTTAATTCTCCTGAGAGATAAATGGAAACATGGCTGCTGTTGACTGGCGGCTGAGAAGAGAACTTAAACGCTGGTTACTTGTCATTTTTCAGTGGAATAAGCTCTGCTCTCTTTGTGTTCAGGTTGCCGCGCTACGCCTGCCAGTTCATTGAAATGTGTCTGATGGTGACTGCTGATCACGGGCCTGCCGTCTCTGGTGCTCACAACACAATCGTCTGTGCTCGTGCTGGCAAAGACCTCATCTCAAGCCTCACCTCTGGCCTGCTCACCATCGTCAGTATCACACACAAACACACAATCATTCACGCACAAATACACACACACGATATCACTGTACCTTTGTCTTTGGAAAGGAAATACTGAAAAAAAAACAATTACTTGTCAGAACAATCAGTCTAGCGTTGATCTGATGAGGAGTTTGTCATTTAAAACTCATATGAACACATTGGAAGCAGTAGATATTGTAGGCAAAGATGTTTAACGTTTTTTCTGCTCAGTAGGTTTTACTCTGGTCCAGGACCTTATTGATGTCTCTCTTAGCTTTTACGAGCCACTTGGGACACACTGAGATTATAAGAAACTGTTACATTTCACCAGAGTATTTCTGTGCTCAAACATGATTTATTCATCAAATCCAGGGGGACCGTTTTGGAGGTGCTCTGGATGCAGCAGCCAAGCAGTTCAGCAAGGCGTTCGACAGCGGCATGCTGCCCATGGAGTTTGTCAACAAGATGAAGAAGGATGGCAAGCTGATCATGGGCATTGGCCACAGGGTCAAATCTGTAAGCAGCACTTCTCTCACGATCCAAAGTTAACCTTAGTTCATTACCTTTATGCAGTTTATGTCTAATAAAAATTGATCTAGCTTTTTCTAGGTTCATTAGCTGAATTGAAGCGATGATTGTTTTTGTTTTCAGATCAACAATCCAGACATGCGGGTGCAGATCCTGAAGGACTTTGTTAAGCAGCATTTCACCTCCACCCAGCTGCTCGACTACGCCTTAGATGTAGAGAAGATCACCACCTCCAAGGTACTTCGGCAAGAGTGAAGCAAAATTTGCGACGCTAAAATGGCCCCAAGATTGTGTTGTGCATAGCGTATGTTGAACAGGCTGTTAAACTAATATGAACTCAGATGTTTCTGTGGCGCTGTTCCTTTTTTATGTTAAAATGGGCAGAAGTTACCTGACTTACTGAAATTCATTTCATAAAGACAAATGAATTTTGCTTTTTTATGTTTCAGAAACCCAACCTGATCCTCAACGTGGACGGTTTTATTGGTGTTGCCTTTGTGGACCTGCTTAGGACATGTGGTGGCTTCACACGGTAAGAACAGCAGACGTGAAGAGACTGGTGACGTGTAAATGTGAATCATCAAACATTTCAGACTACTCCAAAAAATCATTGGCTACTTATCAAGGAGCAAATGCAATCATTTTGAAACAGCTGAATAGTGTTAGATTTTCCATTTTAAAGTTAAGTTACAGTAAATACATAGAGATCTAACCCACTATAAGCACTATATAAACATTTAATACCTTTTATAATGCAGATGTGCAGATATTTTTTACATGTTTACAATATTTCTAAACAATCACAACTTAACCTGGGAATGCTTATTTCATATAATTAAATGTTTTACTGTGCCATTATTGATCTGTTGATACTCCACTGGGTGGGAGTTATAGTTATTGACAGATGCATTATTAAACACTTATATCTGCTTGCTGCTACACTATAGTGTGTTCCACCTCTTTAAGTGTTGGCAAAATGTTTCTTACATGGATGCATTGTGGGAAACTTCGATGCCTAAAGTGCACTGTCTGTATTGTTGCGAGCACACTGCCCCGTATTGTATCTCACATGAATGTTGAACTGCTTCCAGAGATGAGGCTGACGAGTTTGTGGAGATCGGTGCACTAAATGGGATCTTTGTCCTCGGTCGCAGTATGGGCTTTATTGGTGAGTCCCATTCCAACGAGAGCCATGACACAAACTGTCCAAGTATGAAACGAGACCTCTGACTTGTGTCTGTGCTGCATTAGGCCACTACCTGGACCAGAAGAGGCTGAAACAGGGCCTGTACCGCCACCCCTGGGACGACATCTCCTACGTGCTTCCTGAACACATGTCCATGTAATCCCCACAGCGCGGAGTGGGACTCACTTCCAGATGCGACTGTCGGGCAGCTTTACACTTCTCACTTAACATATTTACGCTCCGGTTATGACAGCAGCTGCCATCGGGGGAAAACTGGGCAGGATGATTCTGGAAAAGTGGAAGTACTTGTCTGGCTTGAGGGATCTGGGTCGAACTTTTCTGTCTAGTTTTTACGGAGAAAAAAGGGGAAGTATATTTTTAGATTTAGTTTTTGAGAGTTTATTTTAAAAAAAATTTGGGATGTAACTTATTCAGTTCGGAAGAAACAGCCAAACCAATGCAAAATAGAGTAACTGCAAGAGCACAAAATCATTTGGTATGTTAAATCTGATAAATTCATTTTGCATAGTTGGGACATGAGCAGGATTCAAAGTGCATTTCAGTCCTTACTCTTGCATTCGGGAGTCTGGATAGTTAAGTCTGCATTAACAGCTGCTGATGGGGAATTTGTTCAAGCTCAGCAATACAGTAACGTGTCTTTTTCTACTACTTCTTGAAGTTAACCGTGATTTACTTTTATCAGCACTTGCCTGTTTTAGGCCACAGGAAAGTGTGCTTTCTGAGTGCTGCTCCTTAGTTTCAACTCCTCCAAATCCTGATCAGATTTTTAATTCCTTCTCCAGGTTCAACTCCCACTGAGAACAATTGTTTTTTTTTGTCTTCACAAGGTACACCAAAGTTAATTTTGGGAATGTGTTGTTTTTTGTTAAAAGTTAAGAAACAGGGTCCAGTGGTAGATGGTACGTTTGTTATGACAAGGAGGCATTATAATGGAATAAAGGAATTCAACACAAGTGTCACTAAAAACCATTGCCTTTCCTGGAACAACCATGTTTACAACCCGAGCGGTTTATAAATGGTTGGTATTCATCAGCTACTGTAACTTATATGCCCTTCTGAGGTGTTCAAGTCTTAATGTAAAATTTGAACTTTTGCTGCTTTTCTGAATTACTGTCAGCACACAGAGTGATGGAGAAGCATCACGACGGGAGGCGAGCAAAATGCTTCATGAATGAGCCCTGTGAGTCTCGAAAGCATGTTTTGGCGAGGGACCATGAAAGCGGTTTGCTTTGTTTGGGAGAAATCGTTGCACGTAATCCAGAAGTCGGCTCTGTGAAGGAAATTGTCCAACTTTCGCTAAAGACTTGACACCAACTCAAAACACTTTGCCCCACTGTAATGCCTGCTGTGGTTAATCTTTGTTTGCTGTTTTTATTTAACTGTGAAAAAAAAGCTTTGTTTTTTGTAATATGCTGTCATATAGTAGTAAAAATAAAAAGAACTTATTGCTTTACTTTTAATTATGGCTGAACTGTTTAATGTTCAAATGATGTGTCTGTAGAGGTGCTGAACCTGAAGTTAAAAAAAATATTGATATGTTATTGATCATATTAATGATGCACAGTTGGTTCCACCTTTAGAGTCATGACCCAGGTCAAATGCACAGAATGAGACGTATTCCTTAAAATAAAGGTGATTCTGTATCTTGGACAGTAGTTGCATTTACAAACATGACTCACAAAGCAGAGACTGAAAGCAGCTCTACACTGAGTAAAGTAGGACTCCTTTGTTTTGCTAAGTTTTAATGTAATTTTAATATACATGTTTTTTATATATGTGTTGTCTTAATACTGTAAATTTGGAATAATCAGCTGCATCCTGAAGAGGAATACAGTCTTCTTACTTGTTTAGGCATTAATAAAGCATCTGCCCATAAAAAGGAGGGTGAATTAAAGCGTAAGGAGGATCAATTAGAATCTAAAGCTGACCACAGAAAAACCCTTCAACAAAAATAATGTTATCTCTATTTAAAGAGTATTTTGTATTTTAAATCTGCTTCCAATTTGTAGCTTCGGATTGCCTCTCTGGGAAAATTTAGTCTAGATTTTACCAGTCCTTGTCTAATGGGGTCCAAAAAAAAGTGAAATCTC